GACAGCGGCAAGGAACCAAAACTCCATCGGTGACAGAATGGAGAAAAAACCTTGGGAGAAACCAGGCTCAGTCGGGGGGCCAGTTCTGTAAAAATCACACAGTCGGCTAGTGCAGGCTTACTCATTATTTGCCCAGAGTGTGCTGACACTGTGTAGTAAATCTAAAGTCTTTTCTTTTGTTATTCTCTTTTTTGCTTCACTAACAGGATCTCTTATAAGCACCGAACATGTACTGAGTAATAGACCCATCCACTCCCTGACCATAAGCAGATTTTTATTTCATTAATATTGAACTGTGACATCATTGAACAAGAACATCTAACCTCATTAACTGTTGCCTCCTTTTGTTTCCTTTCATAAAACTGAGTAACAGTATCCCAGATCCTGTGATAAAAGTAAAACTGGCTCTGCAGTCAGTAATCTAATAGCACATGGCCATCTAGCCCGCCATCATCGCATATTTAATTCTGTCACCAGATATTAACTGATGGATGTTTTGTAGAGCATCCTTAATAGCAGCATCTTCTCACCTCCCCTCTAAAATATTTGGTGTTAGAGTGACAGATTGTGATCCTACAGATACTGTGGCCATTATAAAAATAAATAAATAAATAAATAAATTCAGAGTGAATTTATTACAATAATGTAAAATGTGATTTTAAAAAGTAAGATTGATTGCCCTTTACAGAAGAGCACACTCTAAAAAAATAGTTCTACTTAGAACCATATTGTATTTTATTCTGAAATGGTTCGTTTTACTTAGCAAGTAAGCAATATTGCAAATAAGCGATATTGAATTTACGATCCATATTATTAGTTCTGAGTTCTCTATTATTTCTTGGGGTTATGCATAAACATAAACAAGCATAAAAGGGATCCCATGAGTTATCATCACTTTTGTGAATATTGTGAAGGGTTCATATACTGTCCATTTAGAATGGATACCTGTGGCCTTCATAAACATAATTGCTTTTACAAATGGACTTAAAAAACTGGAAGACACTTACTTAGACATTACTTATTTGCGTATTTCTACCCAGACAGATGCTGTCACAGCCTCATCATGTGGAGAGAGAAACTGCCACTCGGTTACACCAAAATACACACATAATGATGGACATAAAGACATCCGTTTTGTGTTTCTATTTATTTTATGTAATTATTAATGTCAATAAAGTGTAAAATGTTATCAATAAGTAATGTATACAGCTAATAACTGACAGAGCACTTTCATTTTTTTGCTACAATTTCCCATGTCAATAAAAAATAAAAGAACCTAATTGACACAACTTGGCGTCACCTTTGATGCAAACATAATAGAGGCTATAAGGTCAAACACTATTTAAAAGGTTCTTTATAACATCATTATAATATAAAGGAACATATAAAGGAACAGTTCACCCAAAAATGAAAATTAGAAAAGCAGTTGAAAACCATAATCTGGTGTGTGTGTGTATATATATATATATATATATATATATATATATATATATATATAATCATGCTTTTTACAAGTACATTTTTTGTGTGTTTTGTCAATTCTATTCCACTGTCAATTCTATTCCACCTCACAGTCCAACCTTTGATATATAGCACCTGCATCATGTATGGGGACTCAGTCAGTTTTGTTACATTCTGGAACCAACATTTTCCTCAGAGTGGATTTTTAAACAATACCCACTACAACATATATGATTACTGAAGCATGCTAAATATTCATTGTTGATTGGCAGACATTCAGATAATCTTTTAAACCGAACAGAATCATTCACAGCAGCTCAACATGCAATGCAATGCTGTCTCCATCAGTTTGGTTCAAATGACAATGTGATTGTGCATTCATCACTCACCAGTGCCAGAAACTGTCACCCAGCATCACAGAAAGGGTTCTGGGCTTTGTGGCTCGTGTGCTGATATTTTATGACAATGTGTGAGCAAGTTGTAATTTGTTTGGTCCAGATATGAAGCCACTATACCCTCAGTGCCTGTTTAATTTAACACTTCAGTGGCGTTCACAGTTGGAACAGTATCTCAGTTCACTTTAAAAATGCATAGACAAGAAGGAAGAAGGACCAGTTAATTGAAAAACAATTTATTTCTGACACTCTAGTCTAGATTCACAATAGTAAACTTAATTATGAAGCTTTGCTTCAATTATAAACTATACAAGAAAAATACATTTTTATTATACCTTTTATAAGGTTTAAAGGTTTAATACCTTTTTGGAAATAAAGCCGGGTGGGAGAAAAAAATAAAAGACCTCAAACAATCAAAAGCAAATAATGCTTCAATATTACTGCAGAGAAGTTTATTTAGATCATATGCACATTAATTTACATAAATCATCCTTGGACTGGCATATGTATTTGCTTTTTCACTGCTATTAGTTGCACTCATGTAGGTAGTTAATTCAGCTGGAACCCTATTACAAGCCTTCTTACCCCATATACTCAGACATTAATCACAATACTGCCACAGGTTGCATTCGCTTCCACAACAGCAGCGTTTACACCCAAACGCACACTGGGAGATAGATAGATAGATAGATAGATAGATAGATAGATAGATAGATAGATAGATAGATAGATAGATAGATAGATAGATAGATCTCCCCTAACATATCACCTTAGTTTCCATAAATTCTCAAGAGCAGGAAGTGTAAGAAAAGCTGTTTGCACTCTGAGGGTATATATGTCTTTCTGAAATGTCCAGCAACAACTCGTCGCCTAAAAAAAAAAGAAAAAGAAAAAATACATCAGTCTAAGGTTGGCTAGTCTTCCAGTCTGGTCATAGCACTTTTAGAAGGCTGGTTTCAGATTTGGCAGCAGACCAGCTGACCAACCAGCTGAAATAGTTTGTCCAAGTCCTCCTTGAAAGTTTGTAAATTTTAATTGGGAAGTTGTAACTGCGACGTTAGGAGCGTTTAAATCAGTCGGCGCAAGATGGCATACCATTTCTATAACATTGTTTTTATTTTGTAAATTGAATCGTTATATCATATGGCTATTCTAAATATGTCAATTTAAACAAATGTACCGTCAATACAGAGGATGCATCCACTGTGCACAACAGTATCAGTGATGTGCTATAGATGAGTGACGTTGTGCGTTATATAGCACATCTGAACACACATTTGCGATATATGTGTTATGCATAATGACTGATTTGCTAAATGAAATAACACTGCTGATGTGGTAGCCTATATGTCATATAACGCACTGATCTGCTAAGCGATTTTAATCATTTGGGTTCCGTGCGACCAATATACATGCCATCAAAAAACACTACAGTACGACAAAACAGAGGTCGGGATTGTACATGTTATTTTTTATATATACAACAAGCGTTAAGGTAGCATCACATTGCTATAATGTATTTCCTTTGAATGCTTCCAGACAATTTGCAAGAATAATTAGATTAGAAAAACTGGTTTACGTAAAATTAAAACACTGTGCTCGATGCAGATATGAACATGAAAGGGAGACGGCTCATTGCTTGGAGCTTGATGATTGATCCATTGTAATTCTGTTCGTGACCGAAGAGCGCTTATGGGAGCTGTCCGCCGGTGTGTGGTGCTGAAAGACATCACATATACTTAACCAAACAATTAAGGGACATTTCTGTTCTTATATTCAACCGCAAGAAATATCCTTTAATTGTAAGAATAAGAATATAATGTTTCGTCTCTCCTGATGAAGTCTTCAGTCATGTGGATGAGTCAATCCAGAGCTGCTCTTTATTTCTCTCTCTGAAGTTCAATTTCTTCAGTTCACTTTCCGCTCTCCATAAACCTGTCCTCATTCTACTGCCGTTTGATATCAACATGTTAAAAGTTAAGAAGATACATGACATAATGAAACCTCAAATTAAAGGTTAAAATCAAATACAATTTAGACCATACAAAAACATATATGAGACCAACACAAGTGCATTTTGTTCAAATGCCGCACGCCTTACATTATAAAAAGTAAAACTGTGCAGTTACCTTAAGGTGCTAAATCACGTTCTGACATAAATTAAAATGGAGCATTTGTGTTACAACCTGAACAACCTCCCTTTACTGTGTTACATTAAAAAAATCGTATATGCATTGCAAGGGAACCTTGAAAGATATACAAAGAACATGCTATCATGAAAACGGCATGTTGTATACACAGCCCACAGCTCCAGTCTTCAAGGCATCGTCTCTTCAACACGTCCTTGGGATATCTAAACACCGTGTCTGAATTAAACCTTGTTCACAGGGAGAAATGCGCCTTATGTGGAGAATTTCCACGGACTTCTGACAGCGGTGCTCCGTCTCGCGCCGCGGGAAGGTCGATTCCTCTTTGTGACATTGCACAGCGATCAACTGTGTTGCAATATCCGGTAAAACAAGCAATAAATGATCTAAAGCACACTTTAAAACTCGAAAGAAAGGTGTCGTTTCCTTTTGCGCGCAACGAAACATTGAAGCACCATCTCCACATTAATTTCTCCCATGTGGAAACCTCTACGAATATACCATCTATAGCGTACTCATTGACAGCTACATGTATGTTTACGAACTGTAATTCAACGTCCAGTAAAATCAACGATAAAAAAACTGAGAATGAATCAACAGCACACTTTAACACTCAAAAGAAAGTTACCGCTTCGTTCGATGACTCGGTGACCCGCCGGCTTTCCACATTTCTCTCCCCACGATCATGATGCATGTTTACAGAGACCAAAGCATTTGCTCAGACGCAACGCAAAAGCAGTAATGTCTTCTTAAGGCAGCTGCATGTATGTTTAGCGCTGTCCTCTTCTCCGGCTTGGCTCCGAATTCCATCTCTCCGCGCGCGCGCTCGCGCTCCTCTGGAACGAGCGAACAAGCCAGCGAGGGCGCGCGCGCGCGGGGGTGTCCCTCCTCCGCAGTTTGGAGTTTGTGATGTGTCTCAGACTCCGCGAGCGCCGCGCGAGAGCGAGACCTGCGGAGCGAACGCGCCGGATCCTGAAGCGACCGTTACCCTCCAACAGGCGACCTGCCTTTCTCCTTCCTGATTTCCCCCGTATACCCTCACAGTGGTCCTCGCACTAGCGCTTTCTTTCAGCGCCGGCGCACTTTTTGGTTTATCACAGGTGCATTTGCGACCCTTCGACGTACTTTTCTCACTCACTGGGAATTTGCAGACATCTGAGGGTCGTGTGGATGCGCGGCTTTGGAGAGAAGCGGAGATGGAATTGTTGATATTATGCCTTTCTTTTGGGATATTGCAATGCAATTCGGTGGGAGCCGACTCCATCATTCACATCGGTAAGGAGTGAGCTGTTCAAAGCCCTTATTTGTTGCAAATGATAATGAATGCGACATCCAGAATGAGGACTCTTAAGAGAAGTGTGTTGTAGGGGTCGGCGTGAAATATCCATTGTAAATAAGCATTGAAAATGTGCCCTGCTCATCGGGCTGAATATCAATTGAGCAGACCACTTGTGATGATAACGTCTCTCTTGTTCAGATTGCCGATAGATCCATTGCACTGACAGATGCATGGACAAGACTAATCTAATTCCAGTCTTAGCAGGTTGTTCACGAGGAACGCTTAATTGTGTAAATCGCAGATTCCAGGTAAGTTGGAAAAACAGGAGGCGTCTGTCATAAGGCAGAGTAAGCCAATGTGTGTGGGTTGCTCTCCCCCTCCCATCTATAAGATTGAACTTTGTATGGAACGTGAGGGAAATTTTAATAAAGGATGCTGAAGTAAATAAATGACAAGAGGACAAATGCTTATTCTTGGCTATCCCAGGCTGTAAATGTCATCTTAACCAATCCCCTTTGCGTGCGCTGGACACCCTGTGCATTCTGATTATCTCACCAAATGTGAGGAAAGAAAGATTTTGGCTCTCCAACAGCAGCAAAGAGGAGGAAGAGGGGCTGCCGGGGAGGGCGGCTGTAGCTCTATTCAGCTGTCATGAAGAAGTCAGATCCAAACTCTCATTTATCGTATCGAATCAGCTGTTGGCTCATTGGAAAGAAGATTTATTGGAATCTGTGAAAAAAAGCCTCCATATTTGTTGTTGGAGATTCTGAAGTAGTTTTGATTATAAATTCTATTTGGTCTTCAACAAAACTACTTGTCATTCTAACCTTTTATATCAAAAACACATCGTTTTGTGTGGCCAAAACTGACCAAGTGGAGTCGGTTGTCATATATTTACCCCCAACTAGCTTTAACAAATCAGATTTTGGCTTGTTTTATGCAATCTATGTCTTAGGTAATTTGCTGCCAAGTATATTTGACCAAGACCTTGGGGATGATTCAAGAAAGCAGTTTTAGATAGATCCGGCATTTAAATCACATGTATTTGACATGTTCTGAACCGTGGTGGATGCAATATGCAGAGTGAAATTATGCTATATCCCTGTGCACACAGAAATACATCTACAGGTTGTTCTCAGATAATTCAGTTTACCTACCGGTTGCATGCGTCTAGGTCAGAAAATCCACTTCCATCACCACCTTTAAAAATGAGGTCTTACAACGTTTTCATCCAGCTCTTACCTTTAAGTGCAGACGAGGGCGTATCTGTGGCTGTGTAATAGGCAGGACTCAAAGGTGCACAGCGCAGGTGAAATAACAAATTCCAGCCTCTCCAGTGCCCAATACTTCCACTTTGTCACATCCGCTCACGTTATCATCCTGACCAAATTCGGCTCCGAAGGGCAAAAGAAAAATAGGGCCGTCCACTGAATGGAGAGGGTGACATGAAATGATTTTCAGGGTGGCGTGGTGATTTACAGAGGCAATGGCCATCCAAAACTGGTAATTGGAAGGCTAGTACAGGCAGTGTGGATCAGGGCTGCTCTCACTGGCAACTGGAATGAACAGATGCGACACCCCTATTTCTGCTAAATAAGATGAACACTGCAGTGATACATCAACCAGATTCTACCTGTCTACCTGCCCATCCTATTGGGCTCCTCTAACACAAGTAGAGATGGGTACATTTTGGCCAAACATAAATGAGGCCTCTCAATCTCTCTAAAACCGGTTTTAGATATCATGCTTAAACGTAAATACGTTAAGATGCCATAATATGAATTAATACATGCAACTTGTTGCACAACTTTATTGTAGGTTGCTTTGATTAGCACATGCTTGGAAAGTAAATGCTTAACAGTAAGGATTTTTATTCCCTCTTTATATTAGCTGTCTTTAACTACTACTGTATGCAATTACCTTTGTTTTGGCATACTTATTGTGTTCATGTTGTATTACAAAACAGATGTAGATGTAATTACTAGGTAATACATTAATAACAGACGTAATTACATGCACACATTTTTCATATTTAATATCACTACAACATAAAAACATGTATGTACACAATAAGTGTATTGGATCAAATTATTAATTTAGATGTTAGTACACGGTTAAAGACATTTACAATAAAGTGGGGTCCAGATTGGCCAAGTGGTAAACACTTGCAAGAGACTGGACCAAAAAAAACCCCCAAAAAACCTTTTGACTTAAATTACAAGTCGATTTAAATATTACCATTTTTTGGCTAAACAAAAAATAAACTCACAATGCTAGACAGTTGTAACATTACCTGACATAATCAGAAGAATTCACCACCAATCCTTATTGTTGAGCCCTGAAATTAAACAAATGCAACTTTTTTGACCCTTCTGTTATTTGTTCATCATTATTCTCAAATTAAAATATTTCTCATTGCTTATCATTTTATGAAACAAAAGGTGATGAGTAAAATATCAGGGGTCTGTTTATCTTATTTGTTTCTAGTGAAGCGAACAACAATCTTGTTTTAGCCCTGAGCTCTCTGTAGGATGGGTTTCCTTAGCTCAACTGGTAGAGCACAGCGATAGAAATGTCAAGGTCATGTGTTCAATCTGAGAGAACATACACACTGATAAAAAAAAAATAAAATAATAATAAGTACCTTGACTGCACTTTTAAGTGGCTTTGGATAAAAGCATCTGCCACATGGATAAATGTAAATGTTTCTAAAATAATAGCTCTTTGAACAAGATGAGCCAAGCAAGTCAGTTGCCCTCTGTATGCAAATTAGCAATTGCTTCTGTTTCTTTGTACGCTTCACTAAGACCCAGATAACTATCTACACATGCCCGCAGGTGCCATTTTTGAGGAGAACGCAGCACGGGATGATGAGGTGTTTCAGTTGGCGATCTCTGACCTCAGCCTCAACGATGACATTTTGCAGAGCGAGAAAATCACCCACTCCATAAAATATATCGAACCCAACAACCCCTTTCAGGCAGTCCAGGAAGGTGAGTGAATCATCGTGTTATGTCTCTTCACTCTCGAACTGCATCATTCCCTGACGTCTGTGTGTAAATGCTAAAAAAATTAACATGCAAATTGTTGTCTGGCAGTTTGAGTAACCCTCCAACAAGACATCACCGAGTCGAAATGACACACATCGCCAGGGTTTCTGCTTTTGTTCAGAGCATGCTTACGGCAAGCCAAGATGTCTTGAAAATGTATGTGTGTTTGTTTAATGCCAGCATGAAAGGTGACGTTTGGTTTCAAAGACTTCCACCTGAAGCTTCCCCACAGTCTAGTGTCTTCTGTGAAAGAAGAGCTAGGTGGAGGTATTGAGTCAGGCTGGACTCAATGACAATTTTCCACATAATTGCAGTTGAGGATGAGTGCTCTGAAGCCTGAGCTTTCCGAAAGATCATTTTGAAAAGCGAGGAAAAAGAGAATGTATTCTTCTGAATGGGCTAATGGCAGTTAATGATGCCGGGATTGACGACGAAGACGATGGTGATGATGATGGCAATGATTATTTCCGTTAGAAAATATCCTCCATCACAATATTCTGTGATTAGTTTTGGAAATATATCACTGTGATCAATCTAAGTGAGCTATTGACACTGGTATAGTGCGATCTTTGCTAAGGTTTTATTTGTCATTCTTCTTCCTCTGCTATGACTTGGACCTTTATCAACTAGTCTGCAATCAGCAAGTACTCGCTGTTTTGTCAGCAATGTGCAGTTTTCCACAGTTCTTTGCTTTCAGTGTATTAGGTGTCTTTCAGGTTGGTTTGGTGAGGTGTTTTATTTCCCACATGTCAACCTGAGGAATAACACGAGCACGCATGGAGAACATCCTTATTCTGATAACGCCGTATGACGTTGCAAATGGCACAGGGGAACTTAACCCTTTTTAATATAGCTGGTGTTAACATCTAGAATGAAACTGTCTCATTGTATGTTGATTTGTTTTGCACACCAGAAATAAACCTTCATAGCGTCTCACTGGTGCTTGAAATGCTCAGGGAATGTTCGGCTTTATTTATTTGGAGTTACCACTCAAATGCTACACATTTTTTGCCACTGGACCTCTGGTTTTGCCATCATCTGGCAATATCCGGATATGTGTGATCTTCTGCATGAATGTGTTGTCATGGTGGTGTGGTTGAAATACAGGGCAGTGTGTAAGTACCTAAGCACAGTGATACTGTGCTCTCTTGACTGAATGCCCTGTTGATTTTGGCTCTGTGAATAGATTCCAGGCCTTTCAAGACAGCCAATGGAGTTCTTTTTAGTGGTCACAGTTGCCATCTCAAAATGGTAACAGTAGCCCACATTGTGTGCTGGAATGTGCTGGAGGAAAGCATTGGGGCTCCTTTTATTAAGCAGCAGAGCGACTTTTTCATTCTGTGGTGTTAAAGGGTGACTCTTTCGAAATCTGTCAAGCATGTGTCTGGGTCACCAAACTAGCAGAAAGAAATATCACCACAATGCAAAAACTCCTACAACATACAAAATATAATATTGTTTATATGCATTTGTATGCAATACTGGAAAGAAATTAAAGCTTTCATTCAGCAAGGGCACATTCAATTGTTCAAATGTGTGTTGCAAAAGATTTCAAATAAATGAATTCATTCTCAAATAAATAATTCTTTTTCAAATAAATGCTGATGTAATGTAAATAATGCAAATACATTTCTATTCAAAAAGGGGTAAAGGGATAGTTCACCCACAATATTCAGAATAATAATAAAAAAATGTTATGTTATTTTGTTTTTCTGTTAAACACACACACACACACACACACACACACACACACAAAATTATATTTTGAAGAATGTTGGTAATCAAACATTTGTTGGTAGCCCTTGACTTCCATAGTATTTTTTCCATACAATGGAAGGCAAACGCTACAAGCAACTGTTTGGTTACAAACTTTCTTCAAAATATGTGACCCTGGACCACAAAACCAGTCTTAAGTCACTGGGGTATATTTGTAGCAATAGCCAAAAATGCATTGTATGGGTCAAAATTATAGATTTTTTGTTTATGCCAAAAATCATTAGGATATTAATTAAAGATCATGTTCCATGAAGATATTTAGTAAATTTCCTACCGTAAATATATCAAAACTTCAGTTTTGATTAGTAATATGCATTTCTAAGGACTTCATTTGGACAACTTTAAAGGCGATTTTCTCAATATTTTGATTTTTTTTTGCACCCTCAGATTCCAGACATTCAAATAGTTGTATCTTGGCCAAATATTGTCCTATCCTAACAAACCATACAGCAATGGAAAGCTTATTTATTCAGCTTTCAGATGATGTATAAATCTCAATTTAAAAAAATTGACACTTAAGACTGGTTTTGTGGTCAAGGGTCACATATCTTCTTTTGTGTTAAAAAAACAAAACATGCATATTCTCAGCATTGGTAGTAATGGTGATCTTCATTAGACTCTCAAGCATTACTGTAATACAAGTTCTCATATAAATCATCTTAAAGGCAATACAACACATATTACCACGATAACCACTGTAACACATATTACCATTTATGTAGCATTTGGGATGAAATATGATACAGACATGCTTTCCTGAGATCCAATTTACTCGTTTTTAACTTGAGAAAGTAACATTATTGAATTTTCACTCCTCAAGATTTTTACTTTCTGTGTGCACACAATACAGAATATTGTGATGTATAGTCAAATAACCTGTTAGAGAATCATCTGCTGGTATGACTATGAGCTTCACATCGATAATATAACAATTCCTGTGAATTGTTCATTATATTGCTGCCTATTGTCTGATTCTATTGCCTGAAGTTGATCTTAGATTAATACTTTAACCCTTTTTGAATTTGTATTACTTGCCGCATGTTTCTTTATAATTGACATATGTGTTATACTTCCATGCTGTATCCTCAGGCTCTCATTTTATACTCGGCACCAAGTGTAAGACCTACTACAGAAACAAGTGGAGATGGTGTAATGAAACCCACTAGATGAATCCCACAAGGTGTTTCATGGTGTCGGGATGTCAATAAAGATTTGGAGCTTTACCTAAACTGCCTGCTCTCACAAAAGAGTGTGAAATGCCCCAAATCTCTCCAAGCTCCTTAAATGCAGCGGGACCTTTTATTTATTATAGCATAGTTGCTGTTTTCATAGTCTTTCTTTCTTTGTTAGTTAACTGTGTAATAGCACTCCAATTGCTTTATTATTGGAGAAGCAATAGCGTGGAATTATCTCTTCTTTATGTCTTCTGATTTGTGTCACAACTGCATCTAAATATGGTTGTGGCTAAGTGCTTAGGAATAGTTTAACCAAAAATTTAATTTTACTGAAAAGATTCTCATCCTCAGGCTATCCAAGATGTAAATGAGTTTGTTTCTTCATAGGAATGCATTTGGAGAAATTTAGCATTTACATCACTTGCTCACCAATGGATCTTCTGCGATGAATAGGTGCCATCAGAATGAGAGTCCAAACAGCTGATTCAAGTACAACTCCAGTCCATCAATTAACGTCTTATAAAGCAAAAGTCTTATAAAGTTTTCAAATCTATCATTATGATGTTTTTAACTTTAAACCATTGCTTCCGCTTCAAATACAATTCCTCTATCCATAATATTGCTTTTTTTTCCAGTGAAAAGGTTATCTAATCTAAATCAAAATAGAAAAAAGCACAATTTACAAGTGAAAACAGTGCAAAATGTTCTGAACAAATTTGCCAGTGGATTTTGATGTGAGAGGATAACAGGGGATGGACTTTTTCTGAAAGAAGTGTGGATGGATTATGGATTATGCAGTTGTATTTTGGCCAGAAGAATGTCTTAATGATGGCTTTGTTTCTTACAAATAAGAAGCTTTTCACTTTCACATGACTAATTGATGAGTTAATTGATTGACTGGAGCTGTGTGGATTACTTGTGGATTATTGTGGTTTTTATCAGCTGTTTGGACACTCATTCTGACGGCACACATTCACTGCAGAGGATCCATTGGTGAGCAAGTGTTGCAATGCTACATTTCTCCAAATCTGTTCTGATGGAGAAACAAACTTATCTACATCTCAGATGGCCTGAGACTGAGGACTTTTTATGCAAATTTTCATTTTTGGGGGGGTGAACTGTTCTTTTAATGTCATTCTTTCACACGTTTGATTGCTTCCTGGAGTGACTTACAGACAATTCAGTTGAAATAATCCATGTACTGTGTACATAATCAAATTATCCAACTAGGTGTTAAAGGCATAATTAAAAGCAGACCAGACAGCTCTATCTCTATTCGTCTGGTGCGGTGAAAGTAAGTCATATGGAAAGAGGTACGTGTCTTTAATCATTCACAAATTGTAATAGTGTCTCTCTCTTCCACTGTTGCTCCCACCAGCCTTAAGGTCTAAGGGAAACCCTTATAACACAAACAGCCAACATCAAATGGTTTAAGCTGTCGGCAACCATGTTTCTAGCTTGAAACCATGAATTCAGAGTTGCTATGGTTTTTAAGGAAATGACTCCCACATTTATGTGCAGCTGCCACTTACAAAACTGCACTTTTTTATGTCATATGGTTATTAGAGGGCTAGTTTATTGCTTCTCAAGCTTGGACTTCTTTCTTGGCCATCTTTTTTTTTCTTTATACAAATTCACTTGATGGTGGTTATTCTGAGACTGAGGTGCCCCTTTAATTCCTGCTACCAGCACAAATACAACTAACATGCAATATGCTCCTGTGACTATTAAAGCCATGACATCTTACCTAGTTTCTTTGTGTAAGCCTTTATATTGTAATATTTAGCACGCAATTATGCAGAGAACAGATTTAATCAAATGTAATAAGGCATATATGCCCTCATTTACTAAAGGTTAGTGAGAATACGAACATGTTCAAATGTATTATTATACTATTTTTAATTATGCTATTATTACTGTGGCAAAATGGAGACTTATAAACAGACAATACATTAGAGATACACCATACTAATCCTGTAAATCTGACTGTAT